TGTGTAAAAAATATTACTCCCTTCACCGTGAGGTGTGGTCTTAAAGCCAAATTAAAGTTACCTGTTAAAGAATTTATTTTGTATCAAGGAGAATATGCAGAATTATGACGCCAGTTATGTTAATTTCCTGGCTTCATCCATAATATTCGCCCACGTTTTCCGTGGTTTAGTATGAAGAATACTGCGATATTTTTGAATTGCTGAAGTAACGTTCCTTCTCACGCAAGCATAATGTGTTGTCGTATCGCGCTTCATATATAGAATATAATAGACTAATCGCATTATCCTTTCATTATTTTTGTTAAATATCGTTAAATTTCAAGAGTATGGACGAGAATTTATTTATAGGCAGTCGTTTTTATTTCTTTATATTTATTGATAAAACTTAGTAAACCAACGTTTCGAGGCCTCTTTCGGTCTCGTTTTTAAGGTCGTGATTTACTGAAGCATACAAGTCACATTTAAAATAATAAAATTTCTATAAAATTATAAAAAAAGGACTAATAATTATTTCAATAATTGTTATTGTTATCAATTCATTATTTGTTTATACTTTATATGTAATTCAAGTAAGCCACCGCCTGTACTTGGTGAATATGGCTAATCGAGGCTATTATGATACAGAAATGTAAACTTTTCAATTTATCCTCTATACAGTTCGTAGAAACCACTTATAAAAAATACTGAATATGCAGATTTTGTTGCTAATGATGTGCATGAAGTCAAAAATAATATTAGACGTACCACAACTTCAAAAAAAATTCAAAACTGTGTATCAAATTAGCTCGCCTGGTGGGGCTAAAGTGATACAGCAATGAATTTTGATTGGGGAACAAGAACAACTAGCTATAGTGAGGCACTAAGGTCTAATATTTGAAGAGTACTTTTTTCGTTTTTTAACTTTTGCTATGTGAGTTATAAGACATTGTTTCCAATCAGTCTGAAAGTTCAAAAAGGAAGCTTTAAAATAGTTTTTAAAAATTAATTTAGTTTTAATATAAGAAATTGTACACAAATAGTTCATATATTACAGTGCAATAACAAGAAATGTAACAAAAATTATTGAATATTGAAATTGCTGAAAAAGTAGTTAAAAATCAACTCCCCCCTTCGTTCAAGTTCAGGTTCCGGAACATTTCATATTAAATCAACAGTTTTTATTAAAATTTTACCTTACCATTTCAGATTTAGATGAAATTTGTCACATAGGTAATATAAATGAAGAATAAGAAAACTACAAATTTTGAGTAAAATATTTCTACGCGTTTGTGAAATACACCCTTGTAAAGTATAACGAAATTGGTTTCGAGGGGAAAAATTGTAGAACCTCTCCAATTTAAGATAGCTGGAAAAGGTGTCATTTTGCAACTTTCTTTCTGGCCTTTTATATGATATACAACTCAACAGGGGTTAGATTTCAAAAGTGTTTCGAATTTGAATTTAAAATTTTGATTTTAAGTTTTTTTCAAAATGCACCTCTTCAAAAATAATTGAAAAAACCAAAGCAAATTTTGTTTTTGAAATGATCATGTAAATATAAATTTGGAATCATTTTGAGGTTATGGTAATCTTCACTTCAAATGTACAATATTTATTACATTAGATTCCACAGATTTAAAAATCGGAAGCAGGCACTGGCAAAGCTTAGTAGATTCCCAACCACGGATAATCTGATAAATTATTAATGATCCCGAGCCAGACCATTCGGGAAAGTAAGTCCACGTTCTGGAGAGTTTATATTTCATCACTCTCTTACCGTTCGACAGATCGGTGGAAGACTTCCTTCGCCGTCTGTCTCGGCTTCTGGTAAATGGAAAACTCGCCTCACCAGAAGTTGGCCTCTCGCTCCGAGCATATCTCCAGCTCTGTACACTAATCTCCTTGCTTGCCGATCACCAAAAGAAGGATGGAGAACTGCAGATTAAATTTGAGTCGCTTGGAGGAAGATTGCAATGCTCCCCTCTTCATGGATGACTTTTCCTCTGCCTTGGCTTGCGAGAAACATTCTTTTCCAGGACCAGATCAAATGCATAAACACCTCCTGGAAAACGCGCGTTCTTTTCTCCTCCGCGTTTTCAACGTGTTTGGGGATGGAACATTCCTTACTAAGTATTTAGCGTGAAGACATTGTTATTTCAATCCCTAAAGAAAGAAAGGACAGAACAATCCCAAGTTACTGCATCGTGCCAAAGAGCTTCACTGAGCACCCGTCGCTTAACAACGAACAAAGGGACTGCAGCAGATAAAACTCCGCAACCGACGGCGCAGTGGGAAGCATACCATTTAAAGCTGTGTTCTGCTAGCGGTGGCGTGTTTGGCCTTCTCCGCTTCGCGTAGCGCAAACCCGCCGCACTTGGGAAGACGTTCATTCAAACCAACGCTCTGCTACGAGCCTTGGTGTTCGGAAGCACGCAGCAGTGGATACGAGGGCCCTACTACCTGCTGCGGCCCCTTATAACACACTCCCCCTTCTACGGCGGGTGGCAGTGCGGCGTCGTAGAGCCCTGCCACGTGACGGAAGCGCTCTGTCGCGGCGACGTGTAAAGGCGCCCTAAAGGTTCTGTTCCCTTGCGCCTCAAAAAGACCCGTTTTGCCGTTTTTTATATATTTTATTCTGATCATGATGTATGTCACATTACAGTAGTTTGAGTTAAATGGTAGCAAATTGAAACAAAAGAAAAAAAAGTCAATTTTCTCAGAAAAGCTCCCCAAATTTGTGCTTTTAATTGTATGCTTGAATGAAGAAGATTGCTCAATATTTCATTGGGGCAGTTTTCATTAAAATGTTAGGAATTTCAAGAATTGCAAGAGTTCTACATTTTTTGTACATCCTCCTACAGCTACCTTATCGAAGCTTAGTTTTTCTAATACAATATATTCTTCAAAAATACGTATTTAATTGGTGGTATGCACGTGTTTGTTAAATATAATGGGGAGACGGGACTGGTTAGCACCGAAATTGCTTCATCGACTTCATAGCTTCCATGAGCCGTAGCTGCGTCACGTATCCTTCAAGACCTTACGAACTTCCCGCAGAAGTATCGAAATGATTAGTGTGCAGTGATGGTGGAATCGTGATTTCAAATATGTATAAGAGCTTTGAGAGTAATATTTTCGTAGTTCATTTTCTTTAATATTGCTTGTCCCTTTTTCAGCAGAAATCTTCAACCAAGCTCATCGTCGTATCAGATTTTGTTTTGAGTTTCCTTCTCAACTCAGCTTGTCACATCTTTATCAGAAATCTCGTTTAGGGCTTGTTGCCACATTACCAACCAGTGCTGCCAACCTCTGTCTACTACCCATCTTCATAAAATAATTATATTTTCTGATATTTTTATTCACGTGGATAGTAACAGACAAAAACATTTTCGTCGTTTTCGCACACTTCTTGGGCTACAGTTCTGGAGTCGTTTTGAGGAACTAAATGGACAATTAGTATGCCCCTTTGTAAACAGATCCCTAAAATGGTCAGTTTTAATTTGTTCTATTTTTATTAATGTATTTGGAAACACTGGTTTTGTTACTGTAGTGGCCACTTAAAAATTGAAAAAGTTTGGTTGTCAAGATACTTGACTTAGTAATGGTCAATCAATATTCTACCCTTGAAAGTGTCTGAAATAAAAGATGCCCCCAAAGTGTACTTCAAGTTACAATATTACAAAGCCAGTTTGAGCAAAATGTTTTCAGCTTTTTACTTAATTATACGATAGGTAAAAGAAATAATAATTCTAATCGTCACTATTACACGGAGTAAACAAATGATGTGCATGAAGTGGTCATTACTGGTGTCGTTACTCTACTAATCATTTTATACAATGAAATTGCGTGACATTTCTGTTATTTTCAAAAGCAGAAACACAGGTTTCCAAAAGGTACCACCCTTTTGGATCTAGTTTCGGCCCACTGCATGGTAACACAGTGGGCTCACTGGGTGGGTTCTCCTCGCGCTCTAGAGATGCCGAAGTGGGTGACACATGAATTCGACTTGACATTTCATGGCACCTGTCGTTCCTTCTACTATAAGTATAACTTGTTCATGGACATGAAAGGGCACTAACTTTTTGTTTTCCACCCAGTGATACTTAGTTCTTTAAAAGTTAACATTTATTTATCGAAAAAAATGTTTATTTCTTTGTAACTTCAACCTGCCACTGTCTTGCTCGTCTATCGTAAGTTTAAGTTCACTTTAGCCTGAAACTTGAAAGAATTAAAGGAGGTTAACTTCTCAATGTTTCATAAAATACCAAGACGCATTTTTATTAAAAAAATATGAAAAATTTTTATTAAATCAAATTAAAGGTTGATTTTGAAGTATTTAATTTGAAGCTACCATGACTGCTGTTAGTTGCGTGTGTGAGGCTTTTCTGCAACACAGAACTTCTGTGCATTTATTTGACTAAAACACGTTGAATAATTAATAATTTCGACGTTGATTCATTACTCAATTCACCACACCCACGGAAGTAGTTTGCCAACTAACCCAAAGCCTCTGGCAACCAACCTTACGTATGCCAACGTATATCGGTCCGATTTTCTTTAAAATTTGTTTAAAAAAATAGTATTTCGGAACTGACTGACTGGCTCTATTTTTATGTGTTTTTTCTCAATGTAATCTCTTCGTCAAATTTATGCCTTTTCATTTCATGAATAACTTTTTTAAAATATGAGTATTTTTTGTATTTATTTCATAAATTTTTCTGAGGTCAGGACGAATTGATTTTGAGAAAACATAATTGCAGTCTCGCTGAAGGTTGGAATAGTTTAGTTCGTAAAGCATTGGCATGAAGAGCTGGAGTCACGGATCAGAAGCCTCCCAATCCGATTTTTTGCAATTCTGTGAGAATAGAGCAAAACAAACGGAATTCAGTAGATTGTTCGCCATTTTTCATTAAAGTTTTGAATTTGGAAAATCAAATTATTATTTTGCAAACATCGTGATTTTGTAGTACCACGTGAAGAATTTATTCCTCAGAAGTTAGCGGAAGAATATTTTGTTTCAGAAATATCTCCATCAGCACAACAAACCAGGTTTTCAATCTTTTTATGAAGAAATGATGAGCCGGCAACGCCAGCAGAAGTTGCAGCAGCAAGAAGTGATGAGGAAAAAGGAAGATGAAAAGGTACGTATTGATGTCTACTACTTGTCATATTTCATTGATATCACCTAAATAATGATTGGGTCGGAAATATATTGCTATGATTGTTTTTCTGTGTGGCTTTTTTCGATATTGGGTGTCTTGTATAAAGACTGACAATATTTAGGATCCTAGAGTATGATTGACATATAATACGAATTCTAAATTGATTGAAAAATATACAAAAATTTCATTGCCGTTTTTTCTTCATTCGAAGTTAAAAATGCACGAACGTTTTTCATTAATTGTTATACGTTTGCCACAAACTTGGCGTTTTTGACAATAGCACCTTCAAGATTTAGATTTGGAAATTAGAGTGATAATACTCTTCTAATCAAGAAGTAACAAAGTACTATCTCATCCCCTTCTTTACTGCAAGAACGACAATTAACCTTACGCCAATGATGTTGAAGCGTTGCTTCGGCGATGCGAGCCTACGCCGGCCGTACTTCGCGGCTGGCGTGCGATTTGAGAAGCCTTGATCCGAATAAGTGTCCTCGCCCTGTATTTCGGCACTGTATATAGCGATGTTCGAATAATTAGTCGTAGGTTGAGGGTTCCCTTATCATCTGATCTAACTCCTTGTAACTTCTTTACTTTGGGGATAAGAGAAAGATCAGGTGTTAGTGAAAAAGCCGTCTGTGGAAGAAAAATCTCTTTCTCTTTATTGAAGAGGAAATTGCCTCAGTTTTGCGTGATTTGCTGTAAAGAGATAATCAAAGTTTGTTCTATAAGTGCCAAGAATGCATTCGCGCCAGTTATGACACCTGTTTCAGCATCTTGTCCAGGATAAGTGTGGCGGAAGTTCCACGTCAGAGCTTCGCCTGGCGACGGACGCATCGTCTCGCCGGGGGAGGGGGGAATCGCTTCCCTATTTTACGGCTATCGATAACTTGTTCGCACTGTATTGTTACTGTAACCTTGCCGACCTCCACCGAGGTATGGAACTGTTGGATAGTAATAAGGGTACGAACTACTTTGCACAATTACTTGTTTACCGACCAGTCCTAAACCCATTAAGGTTCTTAAAAAAACTTAAACGAAAGAAGAACAGACTGAAGATTTTTGGCCATCGTGAAGAGCGAAAACCGCTGATATGCAATCAAATAACCTCTCAACGTTTAATGTATTAGAACGTTTTGCAACTTTTCCCTGTAAGACGACGTAAATTGAAGTTATTCCAAGCTGTAAAATGTAGTGTGAAGTATAATTGCTAAATTCACTGGATGACAAATCCTTTTGGTCCGCACTTCCTATTTGTGTGTGTGCGGCTAGTTAAAGGTTGCCAGCACATGCCATTAGAGGCAGGAACAACTTTCATTAATGTAACGTTTATAGTGCTCGCAATAAGGCTCTGTAAACTATGTTGAACGTACCCAATGTATGAATGACCCTATGTTGAATGTTACCCAATGAGTCGTAATGAGTTTGTACAATCATACAGGCTCTCAACTTGGTGCTTAGTTGTACGTTATCTCTTTCCGCACCATGTGAAAAAAGTTTTCTGCAATTGAGTGATTGAGGAGGGGTGTAACATGTCTGTTCACCAATTACTTGAGGATTTCTCCCTTACTATTGGAGTACTACAATAAATAAACCCATGGGCGCTCTGAGAAAACGATGGGCCTCGGGCAGTTGATCTATGGGGGCCCTGTATTTCAAATTACAAAAATCCTTCACCTAATTCGTAAACAGAATTTATTTCTACATGTAAAAGAGATAACTTATTGACTTAACTTGAGATTAGAGATGAATACATTTTTTATTTCTTTTGAGTGAAGAGAAAATTCGGAGCCCCATTACGTCGGGGCCTGAGGGAAGTTGTCCCAGCTGCCTCTTTTCTGGTCGCCCGTAAATAAACCTAATGTATCTGTCGTAAATACTGACTGGCGGTGGCGACGTAAAATGCGCGTACCATGACAGAATAATATTACGGCAGGCTTCTGGTAAATGGGACCTCCTTCGTTGGTGAAGCCAATTTAGCTAATAAGATAGCCCATCAGCAATGTTACCCTCAATCATATGTTCACATCAAAGACTACGGAGGGGACATCAAACTTCGGGGGACAACCGTGTAATTATTAGAAATCTTGTAATCAGGTATGGAACAATATTATAAAATGGATACTACTGGAGCCAGTGTAAACTTCTAAGTGGAACAACTGAAATTCCAGAAGAATATCTGAATTAAAATAAATTGTGAAAATTAGGAATGTAATAAACTTGAGCAAAGTTGAACTGCCAGCAAGTTCATTAATTTAGGAACAAAAAATCATTATACATGCCCTTCTTCGGAATGGAGATTTGTGTTCTATGTCCATGACCATTCCTACTCACTGGGAGGCGTGTTTTTATATTCATAAGAAATTGGCGGCTAATGATAAGTTCCGTATCAGCGGGCTACTTTGGCACCGAGTCCTTCTTCGTGCCCAAACAAAATAAAATGCTCCCGTCTTATATTTTTTAAGTGATAAAAAACGTACTTCCGTTTCTCTAAAATAGTTATTTATGCTATTTATTATCGACCATTGACAAAATTCCCGAGGGCTTTTTGTCGTCCGAGATTATTAAAACCAGTTCACGCCCGTGATACATACTACAAAGGTCGTCTCAAAAGTAAGTTACACTTTTTAAAATCCATGCGGTGGATTTTAAATCCGTTCAATGTTTAATTTTGAAGGGAAATTCCTGTAGAGATCAGGACCGCTGAGAAAAAATCCGAGCGCCGCGGCGCGCCGGTGCAAAGATGGTGTATGGGCTCTTATAAAATATTCCACAAACATAGATATCGATTATATTGATATTTTTAGTTAAAACTTAAAATTTCCTCCGGTGCTCGACTGTTCACAGTGCGAGTCTGCATTTCCGGATTCGCGGTGTCTTAGAACATGACATACACTCTGTGACTCGCACGTGACTTTTTATTTTGAAAATGTATCTACTTTAATGTCATTAATATAAATGATATAATCAAAAATAAATAAAATGTTTGATGTACACGCGATTTACATATTCTACCGTTTAATGTATGAATTTTGAACAATATAGAGACCTGTAGCAGTGATGATCAATACGAAAACAAATCTTTCTGTCAAGGCCGCACATTTAAGGAAACATAGTTCACTTCAAATATGTTTATGCTTCCTAAACCACCATTTAAAGCGCCTAGACGTCGCTTGTAAATACATACGTGTGGAATCGATATCCGTTCCTTTCATCACTCTTTCGCAGTTAGTTTATTCGCATTCAGGGAACACAAATTTATGTTTTGAATTTATATCATATCACTGATATTTTCCACTGGTTGTTAGTATGCAATTTATTTTGTCACTTTAGAGACTGGCCATTCAAGAAGAAATAGAAAGGAGGAAAGAAATCTTACGAGAAGAGGAACGCCTGCGCAAAAGTCAAGCTCGCTCTTCCCAGGAGCACGATAGTGGAGAGGAAGGATCTTCTCCTACAGAACTGACACGTGGTTTTCGGCGCCGGTAAGTGAAACAATTTTGTGGCTGTGGAATCCATTGTTTCCTTTCCGGTTTTGAAGAGAGGAAATAGAGAATCTTGTTTGGTGTATTCCGAAAGAAAAAAAGCGTATCACTATTTTTACCCGTACCTTTTTCTTGCACTTCGTACGTTTCGTATAATTTTTCTAGGTCACATAACGTGTCAGAGAGCAGCAGCGGATCTGTGTGTGAACGAAATCATAGGGGCCCCCTTGTTATAGAATTCAACGCTAAGTCAGAAAGGCAGATACGACGTGGTAAATGTCTCGGTAAGTATGCATTTTCAGAGTTCAATATTGCATAGTTTCAGGCAATAATAGTTTGTTAGCTTTGGTTAAGATATAAAGTAATGACAGTATCTAAATATTTGAATCATGAACATAACCTAATATTCAATGATAAAACAAAGTATATAATATTACTCTATAGTGTTTTAGTTATTATACATTTCACACTAGTTTTTTGCAAGTTACTTGAACTTTAGAAAGTTGTGGCACCTGGAGGTGCCTTTGGGCGCTACACGATTTACAGATACTATTTAATCTTATCATTGCCTCCTAATCCTCACCCTGCCCGAACGCTACTGTCTTGACAGCCTGCGTGCCGGAGGAAGTTAACTTCTCCTATGGTATTATGCTTGTGCGCCACCTGACAACCACCAAACCTCCCTCCCAGTATTAGGGTGTAAGCGCCGCCGCTTACTAGTCCTTGCGGAAGAGAGAGGGACAAAGGGCTTACGAGTCACACCAGAGTGATGAAGTGAAGGCTGAAGTAAGGTAACCTACTACCTGAAAAGGCTGTGTAGTTAACTGCGGGCAGGGAGCGTCATTACGAACACATTTGGTTAAGTGATGAAGCCAAATTATTCTAATTAATCATATTATATAATTATAATATAATTTACCGAGGTACAGGTCGGTGGTCTTTCGGCTCCTACTATTACTCCTACTCCTACGATTACTCCTAATCCTACTGCTAATCCTACTACTACTACTACTACTACTACTACTACTACTACTACTACTACTACTACTACTACTACTACTACGACTACTGCGATAGTTTGATCTCACTGTCTAGACAGTTGTCGCAAGCTGACTTTGGTTGCAATGCATCATGTCGCCTACCCTCGAACTGGATGTGCATAGATTTTGTGTCACGTAAGGAAGGAGGGAGAGGTCTCATACAATTGGTATAGTCTGGTACAATGCAATAGTCGGGATGGCAATGTATGTACTCAGTAATCAAGATGACCCTCTAATGACGCTGGTCTGGATTAGACCGAAGAATGGGAAACAAAGGCATTGTTAGTATAGTAAGAGGTATTGCAAAGAAACCTGCAAGACATGCAGAATAAGAGACACTGAACTTCTGATGCTTCTAAACCTGTACTGTGAGACACAAAAAATGTTAAATAAATCGTGGAGACTAACCACTCCATGGACAATATCTAAAACAAATGGCCAAGGTGCAGATCAATAAAGATCAATCATTTGTGTGACATAAAAGGAGAAGAATGAAGCCAAAATCGGAAGCAGTACTAATTGCTGCTCAGGATCCGGCTTTGAGAACACCTGATAAAGCGATCTCAACATTTCCCAAGGTGATAAATGGCGCATCTCCCAAGAACAAGTATAAACCAGTGATCATATCGTCTCATCTTGTCCAATTCTAGCAAAGACCAAATACTTTAAAAGACGCGATAGTGTGTAGTTACCTCCACTGGCAGATCTGCACCGCCATCGAACTTCCTAACATATGCCCCAAGTGGCACGAACGCTCACCAAAACCGGCGACATCTGTTTGACCCTATACAATATTGTACGACCAACAAATTCAAACGGATCGCACGATATCAGAAAACAAACCGGACATAGTTATCCGGGATTTGGAGACAATATCGTGTCTACTTGTTGATGTTGCTGTGCCTTGCAATTAAAACGTCGTAACCAAGGAGGTAGAGAGATATCTTAAATTTAAGTGTTTGGAAATCGAAGATCAGCCGAATGTGGGGCGTGAAAGCACAGGCCATACCGATGGCCGTACCGCCTGGGATTTGTTCCGCAAATTTTGTGTAAGAACTTGGCTAAACTCCTAGGTCATTCCAAAGACTGGGAAGTGCAAGACTTGCTTTATTTGAAACAGTCCACATTTTGCACCAAGTATTGTAGAAGCATGGACTGTCACTAAATGTGCTCCTTAGATTGCTGGTTGCAACCTGGAGTAGATTTTATATTCATCCGACTCATAACATCTTAGTCTTGATGTAGAGGAATAATAATAATAATAATAATAATAATATAATAATAATAATAATAATAATAATAATAATAATAATAATAATAATAATAATAATAATAATTCGGAGCTAAGTTGCTCAGTGCGTCGCGCTCTGATTTCGCAGTTGAGAGGCACGATCCCCAAGCCGGCCATCCTGACCGGAGTTTTCGTGGTTTCCCTCGGTCATATGCTGGGGTGGTTCAAAAATCCTCTCATCATTGTTCTATCTCCACATAATTCTTAATTCATGGCTTAAGAACATGATCCCTATGAGGAAAAGATCCCCATAATTAATGCGTTGATCTCTCTCCAGAATAGAATATGACTGGTTCTCGGAAGAGAACGTGTAGCGTGGACAGAAATGCCCTATACACAAATAATATATTAATAATATATTAATATAATTTATTTCTTTCCAAAACCATTCGATCAATAATGCCTTATTTTACGTGGCGAGTCTCAGGCCATCTGACCTGATCTTCCGCTTGACCACAAATTTCGCTACGCTCCTTTCGCCATCTAGCAGAGAAAGTAAGCATCACTCGGGCGACAAAACAGGCAACTTGAATTTAGCTCAGGGTTCAATTAGGGTCCCTTCACACGTAGACACTGCAACGCGCTTCCCCGAACACCGCGGATGGTAGCAAAGGTTGGAAGCAAAGGAATTGGTTTAAATGGAGGTGTTCCCACGTGCGGTAGATTCTCGTTGCTGTTGCGTTCGGCGGCGGACCCTTGCCACCGGCTGCCCGGGAGGGTGTTCGCGCCACCAGTAGTTAGTTTAAATGGAGGTCTTCCCACTCGGACACTCGTCGCGGCGTTTGACTGCTGTGGTCCTTTTGTTTGTCGTTTGCCCAAGGGTGGGCGAAACCTACCTCCGCAGAACCATCCCTCTTCCGCGGCGGTGGTGGCGTGGGAAGTGCCCTGCTGCTTATCGGAAGCGCATGACTACGTGTGAAGTGGTCATTAGGCGTGAGGATCTTTTACATGCAGTAAATCTACTTGGGACAGCCATCTTTTCTTTACCTCCGAAGGAAGGCATAGGAAATGTTTTTTCGCCTCTAAAAATCCACGTCATCGATGGGGTTTGAACGCAGGAATTTGCATATCAGTCCTATACGCTAACCGTTATACCATCGAAGCCGCATTTTTAACGTAATTTCCGGCGACACCGTGTGAATCATTCGATTCAAGTGAAAGTTCGAACCTGAATAAGGTTGAATTTTTTTGTTTAATTGCTTAGTATGGTTGAAGTCTGTTGTCAAAAATATTTTTAGGATAGTAAGCCACCATGAGCATTGAACAATTGCAAACCAACTGGGTGCGTAAGAAATCACTCCACTATGAAACGAAATCTGGCGGTACAGTTCGGTAGTTAGATTGAATTTGATATTAGATCATTAGTAGAAACACATTACTAATGGATCAATGCATCGATTTTGACACAGACATATGGAGCTCTGCAACGTTGATGACCCATCGGTCCTGGGGGTCCAGTCCTGACGGTGACGGATTTTCGACGCTAGCTAGATATATAGCTATGTCGAATTCAGCCGCTGTGTGGAAGAGAATTCTAGTTGCCGGCTGCTCTGTAGTTTTCCGTGGTTTGTACGAAAATCAGGTGAATGCTGGAGTAGTACTCTAACAAAGCGGCCACCGACCGCGCACATCTTTTTCTTCGTGTCTTATCCTCTGCCCTTACTCACACACATTTGCACGCACTGTACTACCACACAAGTTGGGAAGTCGGAGCTTGTCCCCGCTGGAGGTGTGTAGGTCACCGCCGAATCTTATCATCCAACAGGCAGGAACATCACAATCTTCCAGGACTACTATCAGTTGCAGTTGATGCGCTTGGAATCAATAAAACGTGGATCAATGATATGGTTGATTCTGTAATTTTATTACCCTAAAATTGGCAAATATACCTTGAGAAACTGAAATTGCCATGATTTAAAATTGCTAGAATGATGACTTTACAATAAATCTTTTTTTCCCCACCAAAATGAGTGTAAAATTAAAAAATGTCTGCTAAAATATACAAGAATTGTATGAGATTTGCAATACTTGCCAAATGGGATTTTGTATATTTTGCCACACAATGAAAGAAGTGATATTTGAATGTTTGTTGCACATTCATGACGTGCACATGTAGGAGTGCCTGCGCTCTCCAGCACACCATATGTACAATGTGTATATGTATGCATTAATATAAGCAACTCACTTGGTTTTTTGTGTGTGTAAAAATGTGTGATGGAGACTGAATGTTTGAATCCCTATAATATTTCTCTGTTGTTTTCTTGTGTTCAAATTTCTGTGAAAATAAAGCGTTGTAGTTATATGGTCACAAGTAGAATATGACTTCATTATTTCACTTTTTTTGCAGGCCATAGTCCTAGAGGGTCAATTGTATATTCAGCCATGGACACAAAGACAGGGCAGCTATACATTCTCACGGAATGGGTGTTAAAAGTTGTTAATAAATCTCCTTTACAACATCATCGGAAAAGAATTGGCTTTTCAGAATGCCCAGAAGGTGGTGATATGAATAGCTATCTAAAACAGGTGAGAAAATATGCCATGCTAGATAGGCAATTGGATTATTGAATACTGTCGGTATTTCTTGTGTGAATTTCAAGTTTTATGTAGAAAAGAAAATTATTGGATTATTCTCTTTTTCAACATACTACTTCTAAAAATGCATTTTTTTAATGGTAAATGAAGTAGTAGTTGTATTTGCAAACAGTGTTTCAACCTGTACTAATGTATTTCAAGTCATGTATGTATAATGTCTATGCGTTTCTGAATGTGTTTCATTGTAAATTCATAATACTGTAATCAGTCTCCTTCATCTAAGTTTATAATTTTCATTTCAGATATGCAGTATTGAACAGGAGCTGAATTATTTACAAAAACTTCATCATTCCAATCTCGTGCATTATATCAGTATGAAATATATCCAAGAAAAGGACTGTTTATTGGTTTATCTTCTTCAGGTGTGTATACATTTTTTCCTTGATCCAGCAATGTGTAATGTCGATAAATGACGGTGCTGCTAATTATAGCTCAGATTTATTGTTTACTGAGAAGTTTTCTTACCAATAAGGGTAATTTAAAATGTTTTTATGTCGTTCATTTCATTTTAAAGAAAAAAATCAAGTAAAGATTTAAGTAACTAGTTGGTTATCACACCTTTTTACTGGTCAATATTATAAACTCACTCAGTTCTATCGCACTGTTTAGTGCAGGCCTGCCCAACTCGGTGGCCCGTGGAGCAACAGCGAGTGGCTCTTTCCCACGAGCCCAGAAATTTGCCCGCGAGCTGCGTTGTGTTGGGGAGGGGATGGACGTCACTCAGCGGTAGGGGAAATGGCTTCGGGAGAGCTCTGCTGGGGATACTGCCATCGGTTCCGGAGAGCATGACACAGGAGCAACACATATCATCTTTCGATATCTGGCCTCTGTAAGGGAGTGTGCGCAAGACAGCGCGAATAGTATTTGAAAGCAATATAATAGGTTTAGTGCTTTTAAGACCATGGATTGTGATATTGCACTTCTTGGAAATCCTTTTCCTGTGGAGGTCAAAAAAGCCATTTCACAATTGCAATGTGAAATTGAATATTTCTAGACTGATCCACAGCTGAAAATAAAATACAAAAACTTGGATTGGAATTTCAAAATCTTTTGTTAAAGGGAAATTATTTGAATTTATAATTTAAGTTTTAAAACATATTTTATGAAGGATTTTTATTTAAAAAAGTATGAAGCATAAATACATTGAAAATAAAATGTAAATACCTTGTTTTTCCCAGTAGAACGGGGTAGGAACAAATTGTAAATTTATTTTGGATCAAAATCATTGTTCAAGTGTTTAGTTTTATTTCACTTTGGTATTGCCTTAAGCAGCTAGACTTTTGTTTGCATAAACAAATATTACAATATGAAATTTGTACGTTCTTTGTTTAAATTGATACTAAAATTTCCATGATTTAATAAATTACAGTATGGGATACCTATGCATTTGTTGCGTCTAAAGCATGGTTTTATCTCTTGTCGTAGGGTCAGTGTCACATGGGGCGTGTACCAAATCGTTCTGAAGGTCACTTGCACTCCCTTCCGTCTGAAGACTCTGCACTTTTCTTTTCTCTCCCACCACAAGCATTCTTCTCTTCGTGATAACATCCCTTTCACCTTGTGTGCCAATTTATGGAAGGGAGGGCTGAGCCCTTGCAAGTACTCATGCTCTTCTTAAGCCAGTTGGGCAGGCCTGGTGTAATGATTACCAGTAGCAGGTCATGCCTCATTTTTGAGAAACAAATGAAGTAGAAATGTGTCCAAGGAACATAGTTCACCGCTGATGGAAATGTTTTCAAGTATGTGGGGCATGGTAGTTGTCGCTTTTTTTCTTTGATTTTCCTCATTTCTTTGTAGTGTGCGGATCTAAGCAGGTTGTGGCTTGAGATATGAGCAGGTAGAGAAAAACCTGTGTGCTCATGATATTCTTGATGTTTCTACACCCTTCCTGGAGTTCTGTGAACAGGAACAAGTCTGAGGAAGTTGCATCATGGGATGTGGTGTTCACCCGGTACTATATTTTACCTGCCCATCACTGGAAGTTTGTGAATGCATTTTGTTCATAGATCGAAAAATGTTAATTACCAAGATTAAACTCATTGAGAGAAATGTGTCTCGGGCAGTGATAAGAATCTCTGGCTTGCGCAAAAAGAATACTGACGAGAAGTCGCCCATGCAATTAGTTATGAGAAAGTATTATTTACTGAGTAGATAATATTGCATGAACCTGTGGTGGAGAAGTGGATATTGTATATTGGCAATAAAATTAATGTAGCGATTTTTTTGTTAATTTCTCAATTTCCTGTGATGGCTACCTAAGACGCTCTCGAGCAATTCTTCAGACAGGTGTCATATGAAACTCCAGCCATGCAAATTCATTTCCACTGGCATTGTCAGAAAACTTTGCGAATCCGATCAGTCTCACCAATACTGATAATGCTCTGTCGTAACTTGCAATTGGGTGTTGATGATCATTTGCAATTGGTTTTTGCTTTGCACACCTAGGCTGAAGGGCAACAGTTATTTTCAGTGAAGTACCTCATTAACCCGGATCAACTGGGGCCGTGGCTGAACCTATTTAATACAAATCCTGTTATCCAAAGAATAAAGGAAAAACAATAAGAAAGATCTTTGAGTAACAAACATATTTTTAATGAAGTTTAAAAATTATATCAGTACACTTTCACCTAAAAACACATTTTAATATATATTTACACTTACACAATATACATCAGTACAAACTAGTCTGTGGCTCTTATAATGCCAAGGGTATCCCAAGGCCACTTCCTCTTCTCCCTCTTTCCCCTCTGCAGCCTCATTGCTGGAGGTGCAGGGAGGGGAAGGGGGAAGGGTTGCAAGGGGGTTAGGGCTCTGATTTTTACCGCTGGCAAGTGAATTCGAGTAATATGCCTACTGAAATTAACGATAATCTGTAAAACAAAACTTTGTTTATTACGCCAAACTCTATATTATTTTTGAAAACTGATTCGGGTTATCCAAGTGTCCGGGATGAAGAGGTCTGCGTTAACAACCACCATCTATACTTTGGATGCTTCTGTAATTAGCTCTCAAATTGGAATTTGTCATTGTTGCAAACCTCTACAACCTTTATAGATATAATGTCAATGATTTATAGAACCATTGTTGGCAAACATTTGAAAAGATATATTTTGTCATTTGGTGCCTTTAGTACTTCCTGTTAGTTACTCCTGTGAGTAAACCATATCACAATTTTCTTGCACTTATAGCAAATTAGATACAAGAAAATGAACCATGTATATTGCTGGCTTGGTAATTTAATCAAAAATGCTAGCCAGACACTTTAATGGTAAATCAAAGGCTATGACAATCCTTAGGCTATTAGTTGAGGATAGTGGGGTGTTCAAGGGTGTATAGCTTCATTATGATAGTTAACTTCTTATGTAAAGACTTGGGAAAGAGAGAAGTTCCATCACACAGAGCACATAAATTATCCTCAAAATACTTTTGTACAAGTGGCTTGCTTAGCGGTTCGATGACAAGATCACAGAAATGACAGTGATGAGGTAGGGGCGAATCCACAATATACTTTTATTCCAGGGAGAGGGAGAGCAAATTCAAATTCATGCATTTTTACTTTCTTAGATGTACTTCATAGAAATAGAAAGTTTATGTAATGTTGCAGGAAAAAGTGCTGATTATTCGACACAAAGACACATTTTGTGAGTCCCGAGTACTGCAAACATAGATTTTTCTTGCACCGATTTGTAGTACATTACGTACTTTGTTGAATATGTAGTGTTGTCAGAAACCATGTTATATGGATATTGGTACCGAGAAAGCGGTATCCTGCAAGTGTCTTTCTGTGAAAAACACTAGCGCGTAGGATTTTCACCAAAATGGATATTCCACGATTGAGCTGAGTGATTTGACAGTGCCTTGAGTTTGAAATGAATCTTTTAATGTTTTGGGAGTATTTTTTTTGCCCCTAAGACATTTTAGCAATGTACTTGGAAATGGCTCCAAACATTTCCTTAACATTTTGGCTTGGATAGTGTTAAGTATGCTTATAAAACGCACAGGTCAGATTTTCAGCAAAATGTCTTAATTTTCGAAAATTCCCACATTTCTAAGTGTTTTCATTTCCTCATATCAGTTTCTTTAAAGTAAGAGATTGTTTCATTAATGCTATCTCTTTAAAATTAGAACTTTAAATATTGTCATGCTTAATTTTTTGAAAACATTAATTTTTGTGTAATTTTCAATGATATATTTGCCTGTTCACTACGTCAGTTGTTCACATTATAAATATTAACTATAAATCAACAAATAAAAATAAATTTTATATTCAGAAAAAATGATAAATGATTTATAAGAAAACATTACGTTGCCTAGACACCATATCTGTAGCCCCCTCCCTACCTTACCACTTGCAAGAAATCATTGGTATGTCTCTACAAAAAGAATTTTTTCAAACCTATCCGACATCTTCCATATCGATGTTAAATATTTTTTTATTAAGAGTCTATTTGGCAATATTAATTTTTGAATCGTTTCGTGTTCAGTTTTTTCAAAATGTTAGTTTTTGAGTAACTGTGAGTTGAATCGTAAGCATTGTGGTGTTCTTTGATTGCGTTTTAGTAAATATCAGATTTCGAAAATTGCAAATTAGAATTTAAAGTGCATTTACTAAGGAATGTTAAACGAGAAGTCGGAAGTATTAGAGGGAAAATTTGGAATAATATAATATATTCATGGGAAATAATATGAGAAACTGTCTGATGTGACACTGCTAGTTGTGTCAACCACTTCAACTTATGAAGCTACAAGCTGTTGCTGCTGAAATCCCATGTGGTGTGTTGGCCATCTCTGATGGATTTTTTCACCCCAAATGGAACATGTGTTCTTTTGAAGTATGCAGCTAATATTAATTATAATTACAGTAATAATAGGACTGGCTGCAAGCAATAGGGGAGGGATTAAAGAGGTGTAATGTGTATGAAGACGCAAACTTCAAGAAAAATTTTGCAACTTCTCAATTCCAACTCAGTCCCTATCGTTGCTGTGGGGAAACTGTTAAATCGTAAAGCATTCCATGATTAAGGCAACAATCTATTTTGTTGACCAGTTGATAGATCTTTATAAGGCTTCTAGATACATTTAGATAAGTCTTGTCAAGATAGTGTCAGTTAACCAGCAGGGCTGACACTTAGAGAGACAACGAAAGAACCAACTTCACGGTAAGCAGCAGCTCTCATAACTCGTGTTTGTTCTTATAGGTGACTCTTGGGTCTGGGGATAAAAGAATGAAACTTTGCTACGAAGAGGTCTAATAAGAGGAGAACCGTGCCATCTCAGTCGTTGTCTAGGTCAACAAGGACTACATCAAGCATCAGGGTCCCTAATCCTCTGGGAGGAAAATAGGCTTCAGCACCCAGGATCTTTGGCAGGAAAATCTAAAGAAAGTACTGTAGAGTGACTGGAAGATCTGTGATGTAGAGTGAAAAGATCACAGTAGCCATGCAGTGCTCCTGGCTCATTAACCAGAGGAGAGAGAATTCCTGAATAATAGAGAAGACATGCTGAGAGCAAAAGAGATAACAAATGCTGAGAAAAGAAGAAAGGTGTCGAAATACTGGTAGCGTCACTGATGCTCCAGAGAAACCTTTCAGCTACAGCCAACTGAGCTCTAAACCCATCCAAACAGTGGATTTGAAAGGAGCAATCAACATAATATATATGCAGCCTACTGTACTGGTTAAGAAATTGAAATCCTTGCACCTCAAATCCACAACCTTAAGTCAGCCCACACAATGGAAAATGTGTTTAAAGAAGCAAATCAAATCCTAGAAGATATTAGTGAACTAAAAAGAGTATGAGAAAGATGGTGCTCTGCATAAAACTAAGAAGAGAGCCTGACTTGTCAGGCCTTTCTATCTCAAAAACAATACCATAACAACAATCATTGAGGCATTAAAATCATTAACAGCAATAGTACAGAACTTATGGTAAACCTCACAGTACTGCCAGAACCATCTGTTTTGAAACTGTCTGTGCCATTTCTAGGGGGGACGTCATCTGGAATCGTGCACAACAAGAGAGACAAAAAACAATGTAGTACTAGTCCAAGATATGGAACCCAGCGATATACAATGCACCTTGGATTGAAACAGTCTGGGCGATATTGAATAGATTAGCTCTGGGTGGAGACTTCAGAAAACTATAGAATAAAACAACGGACTTTCAACTCCAGCTATATAGCTAGGTCAAATACTAGTGACCAGCTTCTCTAATAGGTAATTTTTCATGATTTCTCTGATTAATACCAGGTGAATGCCAGAGCACTACTCTAACAAATGTGCCATAAACTGAGTTGATCCTACTTCAACACTGTGTTTCTTTGTCTGGATATTTCTTTTTTGCATTTTTGAAAGTTTGCTTTGCGCCTGGGGCTAGTCTCCAGATGTTTGTGTGTATTTCAGTTGAACATGTTGTTTATATATTTTGTAGCAGAAATGAAAATACACATTTGAATTATGTTTCTCATAGCAGATACAGTAAAGCTTGTTACCTTTCCCTTCCCATACTCTCTTAACTGTTAGGAACAGACAAGTTTCCAATGGTCAATATGTAAGAACATTCCTTTTGTGCTGTAAGCTGAAAAGCAAAATGTTTATGTGAATTCACCAGCATGTAAAAATATTATGATTTGAACTTTGTCATTCACAGGAGTTTGTATTTGGTGCAAATTTGACATTCTACCTCTCTGAGAAGCTTCCTGTTGATACTGATATGCTACGTCATGTAACTACAGGAATTCTTGAAGCACTGGCATTTCTTCATCAAAACAACATTGTACATAAAGACCTGAGAGGATCCTGTGTTTTCCTGACACAAACAGGTGTGTTGTGTATGTGCTTCGTATAAGGCTTACCTATTTCTTGTTCATTTTCATGTATATCAAAATTGCTGTTGTCTTTTTGGACATTACACGATCCATAAACATATAAAGTGCTCTTATTGTTAATGTGCATTGTGTGTTAATACATCAGTAACTGATTATTTATTAAATAATATGATATAATTTAAATAGGTAAAACAAATGTTCCCCCACCCCCTATGCAGTTATTGGAATGGTTGGATCAGCGCCCTCTCTCTTCCCTCTTAAAGTTTTTGATTCTGATTGAGATTAATAGATTTTCAGGGGACAGAAAACCCTCCATCACCTTGTTGCATGTTTGGCATATGAAAGACATAGAGGAGAAAGGCATAGACCAAGAAAAAAGTAAATCCTGTGGCAATTCTCACCATAATGCAATCTCATTTTTGTTCATTGGCAGTACACATTCATTGATATATTGTGCCTGTCAGTATTGCTTCCTGGTCGTGAATATGCAAGTCGAAAAACAAGCAGTCAAAAAAAGCAGAGCCAGAGCAGACTGCTTAAAATCTTTGCTCCTATCTGCATCCACTTACAGACTGGGGCCTATGAGAGCAAGAAATCACGATCATTATGATTATAAGGATGTATACAATTGGTAGACATTGCTCATAGCCTTGGAAGTTACTTACATTTTTATTTCCCTTTGCAAGAGGTAATGTACAAAGGCAAGAGAAAAAGACTGATGAAGTAGGGAGCAGTGAAGTACACAAGAGACCGAATGGTAAACACAAATATCAGGTAGATGAGAGCCCATTCTATTTGCCTCAGCTTTATTTTGCATTGAATGATATGGATTTGAATTCTAGTGCTCAATGGTGAATGACTACTGATTTTTATTTACCTTTTGTGAACAACTCCCACATCTGACCTAGAACAACATACTGACCCTGTGCGGTAAAAATAAAATTGCTCAGTTTAAGATGATCACACCTATATATCTATACTTGCATTTAGTTTATTTTCTTGTAGAAACTTACTGAATTGTCAAGCTTTCAATTCAGCAATTCGTGTTTTTCTTGGAATAGGATATTAAAGTAACTTGATCGTCATCCAACGAGACAGGCTATTTAAGTTCTAACTTTTAATGTTCCTGTCCAGAATACATTTATGAGATAACTTACCTCTGTGAGTATTTACTTGTTGCACAAGGTTTTGCACAAATATATGTCCACAAGTGTATTTGAAATAATTTGTTGTTTTGTATTTTCATGATATAAGTTGATTTACTAAATTGAAAAAGAAAAAATGTCCTACATGAAATTCATATTAAAAAGTCTGAAGCACAGTTTAGTTTTGAAAATAAAACCGTAAATGTCCATATTTTTTTATGATTTTTGACCTGGTTAATATTAATTCATATAAATGTATTTTGTTTACAGGTCTTGTTCGTGTATCTGATTACAGCTTGGACAAAAGATTGTTAGATGCTTATCAAGCAAGTGTTGAGACAAAAGCAGAGAGTATTTATCCTCCATCACTAGGTCGTGGAGGGAAGAAAGCTGATATATATCGGTTAGGCATTTTACTATTGTCTCTTATCAATGGCCACATCGTAACTGGTGCTACTCCTGAAATTCCAAAAGGGCTACCACCAGTGTTGAAAGATTTCCTGTTTAAGTAAGTGATACTCTTACAAATTATGTATATTGAAGAAATCTTAGATAATTAGATAACTAGTTTCCAAGTTGGTTTCACCCTTGCTTCAATTTGAAGATAAAACTTTATTTTCTTTTTATTTATTTACTTACCTCCTAAAATTATAACCCAGCATCTTTCATTTATTCAACGTCCTTTAAAGCTGCTGCTGATTGATATTCACACACAACAGTCTTCTTAAAAACTCTGCCCCACTCTCATAAATTTCTCTCTTTATTCCCTCAGCTCAAGTACACAACTCCCTGTTCCTATCAATCTGTCTTACCCCTCCCCACCTTTCACTAAACTAAACTCTTCCAAATAAAGCAATTTCTTGCCCTTCTCAGTCTTTTGAATGACCTGGGAGTTTAGCCAAGTTCTTACACAAATATTGTGGAACAAATCCCAGAGCTCCAATGACTATCGATGCGACCTGTGCTTTTACATCCCACATTCTGCTTATCTTGTTTTCCAAACTATTGCAATTAGGATGTTTCTCTGTCTCCTTGTTTACGACTTATTATTATTATTATTATTATTATTATTATTATTATTATTATTATTATTATTCAGTTGATAACTACATTACAGATAATGTACATATGGTATTTCACCTATCTGATGCTATACCCTCTCAATGAAACCACCTGAATTGCTAAACACCATGTTGATTTTCTGGTATTTTCCAAAACTCATTCTGCAAGTAAGATTGACATATTTGTTGCATACATAGCCAAAAGTATGACTGGAAACTCTACACCAAAACACCATTCAACAGAAGTCATTGTTGACACAAGACCGTTGTGTCATCCTCAGACACATAAATAAACAAATTTCTCGACATTTGACAACCATATGAATGTGTCTTAGAATACAACATTTTTACAACTTATGAATTCCCACTATGATTCAATCTTTTTCTGTTATATTTGTGTTGTAGACATTGATGTTTTATTTTTTTTAAAACTTGTATATTTTTTCATGTTTTCTTAGTTTTCCAATCTTTTAATGGTTTCTTTGAAACAAGGCCTTCATAAGATAAATTAAGTTGTGGGCTTTGGACATGTTTTAGAGAAAATCTTATTTGAGTGTTTCTCCATTTTGAGTTCACTTATATTTGAAAACTTTTGAGATTTCATGAATTTTATAATAGACCATTTGAAGCATGTGTCCGCAAAAATGCATTAAATAATGAAATAGATATGTAATGTAATTATTGTCACGAGAGAGATTCAAAAAAATGTCATATTTGTAATTGTTGAAAACTCAAAAGTTTTAATAATTTAAGGTTATTTATTGTTGTGTCTAATCTGTACAAAAAGAAGAAAGAATTCAATGCCCATTTAGAAAAATCAAGTGACGAAAATGTCTAGCATTTGAAAAAAGCTGTCTTTCCACTCCTGCTTTATTTCATCAAATGTTTGCCCAAATAGTTGGAAATTTTACAAAATTCTGAGTTTCATTAAAACTTCAGAAATTTTGAAAGTTGCAATAGTTCAATTTTTTCCAACCTCCTCCTACATTATTGAAGCTAGAGATTTTCTCTTATTAACGTTTATTCTGTAAAATTTTCATGTACTTATGAATTCTATTGTAACCGTTTTCCAAAAATACTTGTACAAGATTTTCTTAAAAAGGCTGCAAATGTTTTAATTTAACTTTTTATGAACATGTACAATACAATGTATTCTATGGCTGAAGGGATGAATTTTTAATCATTTTCAGTCACTTGTGTACCATCTCCATTATTATTCTTAAGTCTTCATCCATAGCCTATCTACCTTATTATACATTTTTATTGGGTTGTTTCGTAGCTCGTGTCAGTGTAAAATTGTTTCTTTCTGTGCATAAGTATTTCTTGATGTGTGCACTCTCCCTGATGTACTGATGACCATTGCTTTTTGAAATAGAATGAAGGTTTTGGCAATATTGTTTGTGTGGTGTAGCATTTGAGTTTATTAGCCATTGTAAATAATCATTGTTTCAGTATCTCTCTTCAATTATGGTCTTATTCTCGAGATGAAATTTCTTGACAGGTGAAGTTCTCTTCTTTGTTTACTGCAGAGTGTATTTTTTCACACTTTCAGACTGCTTATATGCCAATGAAGGTACAACTTACTGTCCAGATAATCTTCCTTGGTGTGAATTGACTGATGGATATAGCTCAAAGTGACATGTATGACAAAGTGAGTTCCTCAGTGATAATGTAGGTTGCACAGTACGTAAGACTTCCTCTCTCTCTCTCTCTCTCTTGATAGAAAAATGTCCATCCATTTGCGGTCAATGCTAGCACCTAAACCGTTCAGATTCTTTCTCCAAAATTGATATTTCTTCGTTCTGTCTGAACTCAAGGTACTGCAAGTTTTAAATGTGTATATTCATTTTGACGGGTACTTCACACGAAGCTTCAACATTTCTGAAACTTTTCTTAAAATTGGCTCTGGGTTTTTTAATTAAACCTTTTTTATTGGATAGAGCAGAGAAGGATTAAAAAAGTGGCACTTGTGTTATTTTCATTGAACTCTGAATTTTCAAAAATTGCAAAAGTTAGAAATAATGCAAGAAAGTAAATTATACTGCAGCAACACCAGTGTCTCTCAATGTAAGGTTTGTCTTCTGTCATTACATTTTCCATCACCTTCGAATTCTCAGGAAATCTCTCTGGTTTATCTTTCTTTTACTTTCCTACTTACTAGGCATGTAGGTAATGAAGAGAAAGAATTGTAATGCTGCAGCGAAAAATTGCGATTATTCAACAGAGAAACCTGTACTGTTGTTTGTGAATATTGACAAAGTGGATAAATCTTCCTCTAATGACTAGTAAATTACTGTTGTGTAGTTAGAATCCACATTTTGTGTCTTCTTAATAGTGATAAATGGGTTTACGTCAAAACATCTGTCTGTGAACAACACTAGCTCCTAACTGTTCAGACTATTTTCTCTGAAATTGATATTCCTCTATTGATATGGCTGAAAACCTGAGGCCCTAAAAATTAGAAGTGTTTAGGTTTAAGAGTTTTAACAGGATAGGTGACAACATTGTCATCAACCAAAGGAACGGTGATCAAGGTGTACTCAGAAGTTTGGTTTAAGTGATTGTAAGCCTATGGCGACACTAAATGTGCCCAGGCTAAAGTTGCCAAAAAAAGTGATTGAAGCAAGCAAAGGCTGTGGTTCATTTCTGTGTTGTGAGCTGATTGGGTCTGATGACTTGGTAGTAAGAACAATGCCCGATATAGCTAGTGTTGAACGTTGGAAAGTTGGGAAGGTGATCTTCATTACCAGAAAGGATTGTTAAATTGTGGTCTAGTGTTTGAACCCCCCAAAGGACCTTCCACAATGTTAACTGAGGTTGTGAGGT